TGGAATCATCATGCCACTCAAAATATTGAGTTCGGCATGGCTATTTATGGAAAGATGTATGTGATCTGATGTGTTTCTTGGGAAATACAGGTGGAAGGATGGTTGTTTATGGTACTAGACCTTTGTTTACAAGGAAAATCTAAATTTTGGATTTTCATACAATCCGATAATAAATCTTAACTAAGAACATCAGCCCATTGATTCCGCTGTTATATAACCGCAGCTTTCCACAGAAAGGAACCCACTTACGCGCGTTCATTCATCTGGAATAATTAAACCCGCGATTTATCGTCGTCGTCAAACAATTCGCCTCGAGGCCAGTGGCAAATCGTCTGGCGTCATAACTGCTTGCAGTTTTCGTCGGGTAGTATAAAGTGTTTTGAATGGAACAGAATCCTTTGCAGACTATTTCTGTACTACATCATGAATGGTGTTGGAACGACCTCAGACAACGATTTATACGGAATACTTGAGTGAGACGACAAATTAACCTTCTGTCCTCGAGGTCAGTGATTCTGAATCGTGGTCAGGTAAACACGTGTAATCTCTTTTACTGGGAAGAATAGGAACTTCATTGTTTGATGGTTGTGGCAAGACAAAGGGCGTGAACTGCAGAGAAATGGGGATGATTAGTTAATGGATATATCATCGGATAACATTTCATTAGCTTTGGTTTTTTTAAGACATTTTGCCAACTGCAGGTATCGATTGGTTGTGAGATTCTTTTCGAGTGTGTCGCTAATTGGCGAACCACTCTGGCGGAAGATGGGACGCTCCTCACGTCACGCGGTCCGCGGAGATTCGATCTGGTAGCGGAACCGACAAACCTACAGCCCAAACACATAAAACATAAAAATGTACTGTTACGCCGATCACAGAAGTTGAAACTACACGTTGAAATTCACGGTCACTTCTGTGATCTGATAGGACACTAGGAAAGAATGCCATTGTTTAAGTGGAACAAGACGTAATAAGATGCCCATGAATTGAGTTGAGAGGCTGTGGGTTACTTTTGGTTTCTCGGATTTGGGAGGAAGAACTGAGAAATACCACAAAATCAGGTTAACCGATCTCTCAGATGAAGTTGAAACAGGTGACCATACCAACACGAAGCAGGGCTTGTAACCACTAACCACGACATTCGGTATTTGTCATTGCTGCTTTATAACAAGTTAATGAGAAATTTCTCCTTCGGTGGACGACTTGTCTCTGCATCTGACATCGACACTGCGATATTCTGAGGGTTCCCTTTTTGAAGGAATGGACCGACCTCTGTATTAGATCTTAGGATATTTTATCTAGGGACTTGTGAAGGATTTCGTATTTAAGTGGCAAATTTTCGTGAAGGGATTTTTTTCTATTCGAGTTTATCGCTGGTTTTTCGATTGTATCGAAACGTCTGTTTGATCTGCCTTTACTGAATGCAGTGGGCGTACATAGTAAGTCGCGATCAGTAAGAGACGAACGTAAATTTGTGAATGTGATCAAAACTGTATAGTGCTCCACTCAAGAATTAATTAGGTTCCGAAGGGCTCATTCCGTGAGAGTAAATCTAAGGTCAGGTAAAAAGGTCTGTAATTTTTTTCCAGCACAATATTAATGTTTTTATAAATAATTGTTTTAAACGCTTGGCATTGAAATAAAATTGTAATATACATTAAGATGACTCTTTTGGGTTGTTGTCCCGTGTAGTCTTGAAGAATTTTCTTGACGTTTCGGAAGTACTTGCTGCCCCCATTATCAGGACGATTCCTAACATTGAAAAACCTTCGGGTCACGGAACACGTACGTCATATACGGCCATCGGGTCCAAAATTTACCAACTCGCTGTAAAAATTTATAAAAGGACATAGCGAAATTCATAAAATAAATGAATATTTCACCTTCGCGACCTGCAGACGATCCCCTGTGACGTGTAATCTATCTGTAAATGTAAATTTTAACACGTAGAGGCAATTGACAAGTGAGCATCTTGTTGTGGTTTATCGTAAGCAAAACCTGACCATTTATCAGTCAAACACGCAACAAACTATAAGTTTAGCATTACCTGGTAGTGGCCACTCTGTCCGAAACGTTTGCTAACAATACATATTTGTTCACATTACCAGCAGTTTTTAATAGAAACGTACCGTTTATATTTTTTTTGTGTGTTTGAAAAACGATCAAGGCTTTGCTTTAGGCGGAGGTAAGTCTTACGAAAGATTTATAAAGTTTTCTACCGCCCGTCCAAGCCAGTGGTTCTTACAGTATAGTTTACGAATTTAATATTTACTAGGAAATCTAAACATATATACAGTATAAAATGATTGTCAGCGTGTGGTATTGAAATCGAGGAGCCTTCATAATCGCTCACACAAAACACAAAAATTATCCACGAAGGCTTACGAAACAAGACAGGAAAAGTGTAATTTGTGCCGGAAACGCTTACTTTCTTTGCAAATTCTCAACTATTAATAAAATACGTCTGTTATCTTAACTCGGACAATTTTAGTTCCGAACTATGCAAGTCTTATGATCTTGCTGTCTTATTAATTAAATCAATACTGATATTTCATAAGATGCGTTAACTCTGTGTTAGCCTGCTGGACTCGTACGCTCGGGGTCACGGATCGAATCCTGTCCAATTCAAAATACTTTGTTTCTTCATGCAGTTACCTGTTTGTTATTTCACCAGACCTACTGTAAGTGGCGCTAGTGTCGATACCTTATCACAAGTTTGTTTCTCCGCCATGTTGGCATTACCGATTTCAGGAAACTGAGAAGTACAATTTTAGGTTAGTTTCCTTTGGCGTAGCGTCTATATGAAGTCTCATGCAAGTTGCATCATGCGGTCAGACTGAAATACATGACCACTCCTGTATGTGTTTATTTCACTTAATATCGCGCAAAGAACGCATAATAATGAGGAAGTTGTCAGACTGTGTTTTCAGTGGGTCTTGGATTTTTAACAGGCTTGGCCTCCCATTTACGAGGGCCAAAATGCGTGTCCTCTGTTCTACCAAGCAGTCAGACATGCCTTTAAACGTCGTAAAATGGGTTGGAGGGTTGCTATTCGTGAAATATGATTTTCTGCACACTTGTATGCATATGCTCTGGTCCAATAGTGCCAAAGGATGGGCGAAGAAAAGAGACCTGTTTGTATGTGTTCACAGAATATTTTAATGTCACATTGAGTGCCAACAATCTATTAGAATATACTTGGCAACTTTCAAAAAATGGAGCAGTGGCTTTTATACCTTGCGTTTCATACACGTACAGGCATATTCACGGGTTTTGTGTACAAAAATAATACCGGTTTAAAAAACGAATTGTTTTAATTATTTATTTAAGATGTGTATGAAGGTGGTAAAATTCTAGTTAATTTTCCTGAATGTTTTGCATTTACTGGATAATATGTCCTGAAAGACTTAAATGAGGCCCTTGGTTGTAACAATATTTAAGCAAGATTTCGTGTTCTTGTGGTAGCAAGTATTAAGATTATTGTTTTCTGGGTTGTGCTATGTAGTCTGGCAAAAGATGACTGACATTTTAGAGGTGCTTGCTGCCTCCATCATCAGGGTGATAATTACCCTGATGAAAGAGGCAGCAAGCACCTCTGAAATCTTGGTAACATCTACCGGACTACACAGTACAACAACCCAGAGGTTAACTCAACTATCTTAAATAGTTTATAGCTTTTGTTTTGGAAACTCTACTTAAGATTGCTGTTAATAATGCGGTATAGTATATCATAATAATACTGTATTTTTAGTAACTGTGCGAATGTAAATTTATTTAAAAATGAAATAGGACAATATTCTTTGTATTACCATGTACAATCACAAGTATATTTGTGGTTGTATATGGTAGAAAAACCGCCACGGTGGTCTAGCGGTTAGAACGCTCGCCTTGTAATCCTGG